ATTTGAAGGCTTTTTTTTTTTTTTTTTGTATCAGGGATCGAGCTCTGGACCTTCCACTTGTGAGACAGGCTGTGGCACCACTGAGCTAAATTCCCGGCCCCTAATGGCTCTTTGGTACCTCAGACAGAACTCAGGACCTTGCGCTTGCAGGTGGCGAAACCAGAACTAAATCCCTGGCTCCTAATGGCTCTTTTTCCATTCTTAGTGAAAGTAAACATTTGGAGGGAGAGGAGAATGGCTCAGTGGTAGAGCATTTGCTAATACTTGCATGTCCTTAGGTTCAATTCCCATCCCCATCCCCAGCACTGCAAAAAATGAAAGGAAAATTTACATAGAGTTGGAAGGTATTTTTCTGTTTTAAAATATTACTGGCTGATATTTAAGACACATTAGATGATGATTTTTAGAATCATGCTTCTGAATGATTCATACAATTTGAGGACCTTTGACTTGTGTTTTAAGTACTATTTATTTGTAAATAAAGAGGCAGTACTGTGGATAAGGTGTGAGGACCCTGCAAGCATTAAATTGTTAACAGTAACATTGAAAAAATACTGTTTGTTAGTTTGTTTGTGTGGTACTGGAAATTGAACCCAAGGCCTTTGCGCTGAGCTACATCCCTAGTCCTTTTTTAAAATGTATTTTTAAGACAGAGCCTTCCTAAGTTGCCCAGGTTGGCCTTGAACTCCTGATCTACCTGCCTCAGAGTCCCAGAATGCTGGGATTACAGGTGTGTGCCATCATGGCCAGCTAGGAAATCTTGAAAATGAGGAATTTGACTCAAAATTGACTTTTAGTAAACTCTTGTGTAATAGAATTATTTGGTACTCTGTTCATATCAGTCACATGTGGTTTTTAACCTACCATTTTTGTCTCCTTTTAATACTAAATTTTCTTAATTCAGAGAATCCTATATATCATTTCTATCACTTTTTCCAAATTCAAAATCCTATTCAAAGACATGAATTAGAGAGGATGGAGAGTTGCGTTATCCGTTTCCTTTTAAACAGATAAACAAAAACAGGATAATGATGAGAAAGAGAAGCAGCACTTTGTTAAAAGTTGAAGGCACTGCCCTGTTATGTCTTTCATGATTTATTCCCTTCAGGATGATAAATGAACACATTCAGATGCCTACTCAATAAGACTGCAGAAGACCCACATTGTAAATAATTTACTGAAAGCGCAAGTCATGATTTATATGACAAAGGAGTTGATATGGTAGAATGGAAAAATCTGGGTTCTTGTAGGAGTAGTACTTTGAGCCTCATTGATTTTTGTTTTTGTTTTAATCTGTAATCAAGGATGATAGCACTTGCTTTTGAAAAGATCAAATAAAATAAAATGTTTTTGATAATACTGAAATTAGTAGTGTTGCAAATACTAGATTATTTTCATACAGAGAAGTAGGAATTCAAAACTGAGGTTGTGTGTTATTATTTTATATTAATGCTATGAGCAGTAATTGCCCATTGTGTTTTCTCAAAATCACTTAAGTACTCCTCAGTGAAAACTGCCATTTCAACTGAGACTTGTTTAGAATATCTTAGTTTTTCTTTCTTCCCAAAACCTTAAATACCCTTGAACCATTTTTAAATGCTGGTTTAATCTTCCTCAGAGGACTTCCTGTGCCTCAAGATTTTTCATTAATAAGTTTGGTTTTCTTGGGTCACACAGTCCTGTGTGCCAGAATCTTAATTTGGGGGAGAGTATGAGTAATCTATCCATTAATTCAGTGCACAACTTGACAGAAGCTTCACTTCAACAATATAGAACTTGGAAAATTTGAGAACAGGTTTCAGTTTCCCTTAAGTGATAGGCACTTTCAGTTCTCTTTCTCTAATTTCTGTAACTTGGAGCTCTTATTCTTTTCTTGGGGCCTAGTCCACAATCCTAGAACCTCCTTTTTTAAAAAAATCTGTGCTGTTAGAAACTGAGATAGTAGTTATCCCTGCTGGTGGGAGGTTGTGACTAGAGAGGGCTTCAGGCTTCCATAAGAGGTGGGTTCACTTTGAAAACTCCTTGCTCTTTCATGACTCGAGGTCCTCGCTGTGTGTAGTGTTTCAAAACATGAACTTCATGTTGACACTGCCTTTGGTTTTCTTCTGTTTGCTTGTAGTTTGAATGAACAATACAATATGTTTTGTTCTAATTAAATACATTTAAGAAAACTTGGTCAGTTATGTTTTGAAATGTTCATAGAAAGGAACCTAAAAGGGAAGACCAAAATCAGTTACTCTTTCTAGATAGTATGATTGATCTTTTTTTTTTTTTTTGCCTACCTGAGCTTTTCAAAATTGTTCTTACGCATATATTACTTTTGTAGTCTAGGAAAAAAAGAATCTGAACTGTTATAAAAGAATAAATAAACATGCTTACAGCATGAGGTCTTTCACAATAGGACATGAAAATATACTTAGAAAACATGATTATAGGGGTAATGTTTTTTCCATATTTGTGTTTTATTACAGATATGCTAGTCTGTATTTTTGCTGTGCTATTGAGGATCAGGACAATGAACTAATTACCCTGGAAATAATTCATCGTTATGTGGAATTACTTGACAAGTATTTTGGCAGTGTGAGTAGTATTTTATTTTGCAAAATGGAATGCCATAGTATTTTTATTTTTTTATTTCTTTTGCCTAACAAGTTGATTATTTGGTTGTCTTGGGGATGCTAAACTATAGGGAGAAGGCAGAAATGAGTGTTTCTTGTCAGTGTTTCTAGTCAGTTAACTTCAAGAATTACTGGCCCTGTAGACTTACTCATTTAATTATGACAGTAAGAATGAGTTTTAAAATAATAAAATAGAAAGGAATCTGACTGCAGATGTTAATATTTTGGAAATACTTAGTATAGACTTCAGATATGGTTGGCAGTTTAATCATATTAAGTTACCCACATTGGGAGTAGATAAGGCCAGATCTTGTTTATTTTGTAGGCATTGTGTTATCAAGTACTTTCATTTAAAAATGAAACTTACTTAAATCAGTGGTGCTTAGTGTGATTACCATTTTTAGAAAGAATTAATATTGATATTCTGGTCAGATTTTATTTACTGATAGTAAATAAACATCTTTGGCTTTCACGGTTTTTTGTTTTTGTGTTTTGCTCTTCAGGTGTGTGAGCTTGATATCATCTTTAATTTTGAGAAGGCCTATTTTATTTTGGATGAATTTCTTTTGGGAGGGGAAGTTCAGGAGACATCCAAAAAAAATGTCCTTAAAGCAATCGAACAGGCCGATCTCCTGCAGGAGGTAAGTTGCTTGTTCTCTGGACAAGGCACTAGCATGTTTTGCTCTTGCTAGGGAAATCTCAGCCATCATTCTTCCAGTTTGAGAACTTACCCCAAAGCATGCTTGGCATGTAGTGTTCATGTGCAGTTTACTGATTGGAATATGTGTCAGTCACGTCAACTCAGTTACCTATGGATGGGTGATTCACTTTGGAAATGATCTGTTGGTTAGGCCTATTCTTGATGGCCCATTTTGGGACCCTAAAACACTGGGTTCTAAACTGTCAGGAAACAGACTACTTTAAGAGAAAAGATTGGCCAAGAGTAACAGGACTTTGAGAATTCTCCATCCATTTTTTTATTAGTGTGGATAATTAAGAGTTGACTGTGAGGGGCTGGGGATTTAGCTCAGCGGTTCGGTGGTGTTTTTTGCAAGCACAAGGACCCGAGTTCGATCCCTGGTACCATAAAAAAAAAAAAAAAAAAAAAAAAAAAAGAGTTGACTGTGAGATTATGGCATTTTCATTCCAAATTGGTTCATATTTTCACCTCATGTTCATTAAGTAAATACAAAAGTAGCCAAGCAAATATTAGAGTTTTCTAATTATACTTTTTGTAGAACCTTCTAGTTTAGTGTTAACAAAACTAAAAAGTATTTGTGATTCTCCTTCCTCTTCTTAAATAACAAACCATGTTCTGTCAAAAATACTATGTTCTTGTCTCCCTTTCATATCCCAGATCCCTAACAAGCTGCTTCCCTTTCTAGTAACCACAGTCACGCTGGCCTGAGCATGGATTTGATAATTTTGTACTTTCTGTTTCTGAAGTTTAAAATTTCATAGATCAGGCTGCCTTTTTCTATGATAGCTTAATTCAGATATTAAATTGAATTGTACTTTTGAGTTAATTGTAGCTTTAAAGCATGTGAAGAGGTTAGTAAATATAAAAAATTCAGTGTGTTTTCAGTAAGGTAGTTGTTAAATGTAATGTTTATATGTAAAATTTCTTGAATATTTCTGACCCACAGGTTTATTTTCCAGATGCATTAAAAGTCTGGTTTTGTATTTTCAGCTTATTTTAGTCCCTTCTTGAGCATTACATACTTGTTTATCTCTTCTTGTCTTACTTGTTTATTAAAAGACACTTTAATCTCAATTTTTATTGTTGCAGAAATGGCACACTTTAAGGGAATGAAGTAAAGAGGGGAGAGGAACACTCTTTCTCCATTAAAGTGTCTTTGCTGTTGGACTCTGTGAGGAGCTAGGGAATCCCACTGCATCAAGTCAGATGTGGGGGTGCTGAAAGCTGAGATGACATCTTATGGGTATATGTCTGTTAGATGTGCATACTGCGTTTTGTGCAGTAGTGATCTTGCAGTTATCAAGAGTGCTTTAGGTGCCTGCATAGTGAAGTAGTTTATTGGCAGCCCTCATACCATCTGCTGTTCAACAGTGAAATGAACACAGACCCCTTTCCTCGTGTGTAGTTTGCCATGGAGGTTCATTCATTGATTGCAAACATTTCACTTTGGACACTTCTTTTTAGCATCAGGTATGTTAACTACAAGCTCATATTCCACTGTTGAAAAATTGGTTTTAACATTAACACTCCCTTATTTTGCTATTGACTAATCAGAACTTTAAAAAAAATAGGTCAAAACCAAGATTAGGAATTGAGAATTTTTCATATTTGTCTCTTGCCTTGATCACTTTTGTATTTTGTTACTATGGAACTGTACTCTATTCCATTAGAACCTGATATTTCTTCTAAGTTTTTAATCATGTCCTTAATTCCTTTAATCATTTCATTAATTACATTTGCTTTACAACATTTTTAAAGTTATTTAAGTTCAGCTTTTACTTTTTTTTTTTTTTTTTTTTTT